GAATGGTTTGCCGCAAAAGACAAGCAGTTTTTCTGGCATGGTATTCATAAATTACCTGAAAGATGGGCGAAATGTGTAGAAGCCGATGGCCAATATTTTGAATAAAAAAAATTAATTTCCCTTGAAAATTACATGTCTTTTTTTTTACTAAAAACCGGAAAAACTTATGCATACACCTGGTAGATTTGAATTGAATTTTGTGCAGAAAGTTGTAAACTCATGTGGAACCTCGCTTCGCATTAAAGTGTATGCTAGGACAGGGATCGGCAAAATGTTGAAATTGGGCACGGGTGCCCGCGAGTGCTCGCGAGTGCTCGCGAGTGCCCGCGAGTGCCCGTCTGTTGTACACATCTCAGGAGCGTATCTAATATTTTTAGTATCTTGGGATAAAGTTCCGCATTTCCAAATGAAACTTAATTTATGGATCAATCAATTTCAATCTCGACAGTTGTTGCATTTTTCAAATTTATTATCTGTTGCCATGCATTCAAGATAAGAAATGAAGAATAAATATATAAATTCACTTCATTATTCAATTATTATAATGAATTCGATTGTCGGTTTAGGGAAATGCATGTTTTAGAAGAAGACTTACTTATTTTTGTGACACCTTTTGTTGATATTAATATTGTTCCCGCATATAATTAGAATTAATAGATTTAAAATGTGACACTGCTCTTAAAAATCGTTTTTATACAATGACTGACATCGTACAATTTTATTCATATATATCTCAAAAACATTTTCCTCAACTACATGCTGTGCTGCAAAAATAATGAGAGTAAATATGTTCGGTTCTACATATTCATGTGAACAATTATTTTCTATTATGAAATTAAATAAATTGCGATTATGCGAATAGTTAACAGATTCACATTTGAATTTTGCAATAATTCGTTTAAGTTGTCAAAATGATAATACTTGATATATCGTATATAATATCGGAAAACTATAAATCAAATACTAATTAAATGTTATAAGAGTTGTTTATTTAATATTATTGTAAGAATTGTTTATTTAAAATATAGATAGTTATTAATTTATGCTAATTCTGGGTCTGAATTTGTGCAACACAATATTTTTTTACTTCTTGAACAGCACGTTCAATGAACAGATGTTCCTGTTATCCCCTCTCCTCACTTTATTGCGCCTAGCCGCCTAACGCTAGCCCCACCGCGCTCGACTGTTGCCCGCGGGCATTGGGCGCCAGCGAGCAGTACCCACTTGCCGACCCCTGTGCTAGGAGACAGTATGTTCCACTCCTTCCCCCCCCCCCCTACTAGGGGAACTCCACTACTAAAAGATCTAATCTAATCCATATTACAGTGGTGATTAAATATGTACCATATCATCATTATGAAAAATTATAAACCTATGTGGAATTTCGCTTCACATTGAAATGTATGCTTGGAGACAGTATGTTCCACCCCTCCTTCTACGAGAATCTTCACTGTCGAAAGATCTAATCTAACCCAACCCGTATCACAGATCAGTTAAATAATTTTTTAGTACTTTATTTTTATCATCGATAACGCTGAGAAATTCGTGAAGACATATGTTGATGATACAAACGACACATGACTAATATCTAATAAATAAACTGGGAGACCACCAAAAATACTACCTTATATAAATACTATCTTGAAATAACATATATATGTATGTATGTATGTACACTATCCATTATATACAATGTGTCATATAAACAGAATAATAACATTTCAAAATTAAGCTTTATGTAAGTATATCTCGAAAACTAAATGAGACTGCCGATTAATTTATAAGGAAAAGTCGATCAGTACCCTTACCTCTATAACATATATCAAGCTCAAGATCATCGGAGTCCCCTAATGTAAAGAAATAACATTTCCATTTTTTTGCCATATAATTATAACATGATGATATATCTTGTACATACAACTATAAAAATAAAAAGTTCTCGAGTGCAAAGATATGAATTTTGAATTTTATTTTTTTAAGAAGATATAATTTGCGTCAGTAATTGAGAACTTGTTTTCCATTAAAAAGTAATAATTTTATATAATAATCTTTCACATACCATTGCGCGTACACTTGGCGACTTTTTTATTTTTTTTATAAAAAACTAGGTTTGTTGTGATATTATTATCTTTACTATTCACAATTTCTTATCTACTTCGCTTAGTTACACATATATTTTACATATTTAAAATATTATAGATAAAATATTATATAGATTTTTAAAATTTAAGAAATATCAAATGATAAACTTTTTCATAGTAATTTTAAGAATTAGAGTGGATGCTCTTAAATTGAGTACCTTTTCTTAATATTAATATAATATTTTTATAATATATAATATTCTTAACTTTTGAAGTTAAAATAATAACAATTTTAACAAATTTTAAAAAAATAAGTAATTTTTATTAATTATAAAATTCTTTTAATGTCTACAAGTTATTTAAATTTAATTCACTTATGAATCTATCAACCAATTAATCAAATGGAGTTAAATATTTATATAATAATTCGGTAAAAAGTTATTAAAATTTTTAATTAAAATGGCGTAAAGAGAACTATAGAAATGTTTTACTTTAAAATTTATGTTTTTAGTTTTTATGTTTTTAATTGTTTATAATTTTATAATTACTTTAAAATTTATAACTACTTTAAAGGATGTCCTTTCAGAATCATTGTGTCATGCATCGATAGCCCCCTTTATGCATTGGCATCAGTTTTTAATAAACTGTTAGTGAGGAGCATTTCTAAATCACAGTATTGCAAAAAAAAAATAGTTTCCAAATAGTTAAAAAACTGTCGGGTTGTCAAATCAAAGAAGATTACTTTTTTGTTTCGTTTGACGTAGTATCGTTGTTTACGAATATTCTTCTAGACTTAGCTATGGATAGCATCTCCAAGGATGAATTTTTGAAAACTCTCTTTTGCATTCTACTTATTTTATTTTTGATAAATTAATAGGCAAACTTTCGGATTACCATGGGTTCTCCGTTGTCCCCGATCATAGCAGACTTGGTAATGAGAGATTGGATCTGGAAGAAAGAGCAATCGAGAAATTGGGGTTAGTCTTGCCATTTTATTATCGATACATGTATAATGTTACATTGACTATCCCACCCAATATGGTTATGAAACACTTCGAATTTTCAACTCTTTCCATCCTAGATTCATAGCTAAGATGAGTGGCCGGAAGTGGGACTTCTTGGAGGTTACCATGAAAATTATTAGCGGCGTCCTTTTTGATTGGTATCATAAACCAACTTTCTCAGGGAGATTTTTAAATTTTTTATCGCAACATCCTCTATCCCAAAAAGGGGAGTTGTGTACGGATTGGTGGATAGAGCTCTTTCATTATCACATCCCCAGTACCATCAAAAAAACTTTGAATTTATTTTTTCTATGTTTCTGAATAACGATTATTCCTCTAATTTCATTCTCGATTGCATTTCCCGTAGATTCAAATTCCAATTTTATAAATATAATAACACACAAACATATATATCTAGAAATGGAAATGAATCGGTGGACAATGACAGAAGGACCAAATGATTTCACCTTTTAACCCTATACCCTATAACGATTGATAAATTCAGAACGATAGTCAACGATTGATGCTAAACTAGCTTTCTTTAGTATTAATAAATTGAATAGATTTATACGCGTCCATAAAGGTAAAAATCTCACCAGACACAATAAAAAATAGTAGTATATAAAGTAGTATGTAAGATAGAATGCAACAATTGCGATAAATGTTATGTAGGACAAACTAAGAGGCAACTTAAAATAAGATTAAATAAGCATCGTAGTCATATTTGTTCAATACAGATACACTGATCAATGATTACGGATCATAGATTAGAATACAATCACAACTTTTCCTGGGACAAAGTTAGAATTTTAGATGTCGAACGTGACTATGAAAAAAGATTGATTTCCGAGATACTGTTCATTAAACTACACGAAAATAATACAATAAATTTATAAACGGACACGAAGTTTCTACATCATGCTTGTGTTTCTATTCTCAACAAATTATAAATGTTTTACGACCTTGTATTATTTTGTTTTATCTTACATATGTTTTATACTTTTTATATCTTATTTGATTGTCTTTTGATTTGTGTGTTTTAATCTTAATTTATTAATTTTTATTTTATATTTTTAACTCTATACAATTTCTTTAAAATTTAATCACATATTATGTACGGTTTAACTCTGTTGTAAGTAAATAATACAATAAATACTTAATCCAAATATACAAAGATCAGAAGCATCTTAGAGCTTTATGCAGTTTTTTGTCATTATTTGGGGGTACGATTAAATTGTTTCCATCACGCGATTTGGTAACCGAAGTGGGCGACAAACAATTTGCTATGCCATGGTAGAGTTCGGCCTTTCAATTTTCGTCATTGTATCACTGAAGATGGTTTAATCATTAGAGCCGAAACATATCGAGAATAAATGAAGAATTTAATTTAATTGCGCATTGTTTACCGCGCTATTTCGTTTTCGAATTACTTTAAAGTTACTATATCAAACTTATAGATTTACAGATTTAAAGCATAATATTGAAGATATTAAGAAAATTATATAATCTTTAAATAAAATATGAACAAATACATAAAAGTATTAATAATATTATTAATAGATTAATTTTATATATTTCTAGACATTTTATATATCTCAATTGAATTATTAACAATAATTTATCTCTAATTTGATTGAATTTTTTAGTTAAGCTAAATTAATCTAATTCCTAAATATTTGTAAGTTAAGAATTTAAGTCAAAATTAAATAGTAATTTTTTACATTAAGTGTATTAATAAAAAGTCTTAAATAATTTAATTGCTCTATGAATATATGTACGTTTCAATAAAATCGGCGAATTACAGCTCATATAGCTCCGAATTGTATGTTAGTTTGGTTTTGGATAAAATCTTGTTCATATTTGTAAATAAAAGTAAAAAATATTTTAATTTTTATATGATGTCAAATAATTTTCTATTTGATTAATAAAATTTTTTATATCTTTATATCTTTATATCTTTATAAACTTTAACATCATTTTTGTAGGTCCATAAATCATGAATAAAAATAAAAATTTTTTAAATGACGAAAAATTTAAAATTATATACAAAATTGCATTATTTATAATTCTTTACGTCTATAGACTGTTAAAATAAAATTTGAAAATATTTTTGGAATTTCAAATCACCTGTGCCAAAATGTTTGTCCTAAATAAACATATATAAATATCGAATATGAAGCTCGTAATTAAAAATAAATATTTTTAAAATGGTGGCAGACAAATTTTAAAATTAAAAGTACAAAGTACAAAAGTAAAATTAAAGTACAAAGTTGCGTTATTTACAATCCTCTAGGTCTATAGATTATGAAAATAAGAAAATGAAAAATGACCTTGAAAATATTTTGGAAATTTCAAAGTCACACTTATGTCAAAATCTTAGTTTTAAATGAAATATATATATATATAAATGCTAAATTTGAAGTCCGTACGATTAAAAATAAAAATTTTAAGAATAGCGGCAGAAAAATTTTAAAGAAAGAGGCGAAAGAGGTGCAAAGATATGCGGAAAGATTATAAAAAGAATTGCAGAATGGTTCCGGAATGGTTGCGGGAAGGTTGCGGAAGAGTTGCGGAAGAAGTGCAAAGATACGCAGAAAGGTTGCGGAAGAATTACGGAAAATTATGAGAGACTTGTGAAATGGTTACGGAGTTGTGCGGAAAGATTGTGCGAAAGAGTTATGGAATGTGGAGTGGTCGCGGAAATATACGGAATGGTTGAAGGAGTTACGGATTGGTTGCGGAAAGGTTGCGAGAGTTGCGGAAACGGTGCTATGATATGCGGAAGGATTATGGAAGAGTTGCAGAATGATTGCGGTATATCTGTAAAGATATGCGGAAGAGTTGCAGAATGGTTGCGGAATAGCTGCAAAGATATGCGGGAAGATTATGAAAGAGTTGCGGAATGGTTGCGGAGATATACGAAAATTGTGAGAAAATTGCGGAATTATTGCAGAGATATGCGGAAAAATTACGGGAGGATTGCGGAATGATTGCGGAAGTATGCGTAAAAGTTGCAGAACAGATGCGAAGATATCCGGAAAGGTTGCGGGAAGAGAGAAAATATGCAGAAAGACTGCGGAATGACCGTGAAATTATATAACATTCATATTTCGCACTGAGGACTTCATCGCCGCGTAGATGAAAATTGCAACCATAGTCCACGGACGGCGACGGTGACAATAATGACGACGTTTCTTAAATTTATAGAATCGGACTTTTAATTGTAATATCTCCGCTTACAGGACACGTAGGAAAAATTAAAAACACTTTTATTATATAATTTAAATTCAAGTTATCGATTGCGCCTATTCAGAACTTAATTAGCCGTTATTGAGCCGTTTATTGAGATTCGATAATCTTGATCTGATAATCTGATATCTTGGTGGGTGTGTGTGTATCGCATTTTTATTTTTTTAAAAATAAAAACAAAAATGGAAAGATGATTTTGTATATTCATATATCATTTATCATTAAGTTTGTCCTTTCTTTTGTCCTGTCTTAGTAATACAGATTACATTTTTGATAATATTGTATTAAACTATTGATACCTTTTGTATGCATTTATTTATTTTTCCATAGTATATAATAATAATTTTATAAAAATATTCTTTTATCAAGATATTCTTTTTTTCTTATTACATTATAAAATATTTCCATTAAGGTGATAACAGGGACTTGGTTGGTGGATGGAAATCCTCAAATAATACTATTTGATATTGGAAGTGCTGCCTGGAAATTAGATGAGTATAAACAAGAATTGTGGAAGACTTGCAATCTTGGAATACCTCATCTGGATATTGAAGCTAATGATGCTGTAATACTCGGATATTTAGTCTGTCAATTTATTGCAGAATTTAGGTAAATTACTACTATTATTTTCTTAACTATTACTATTATGATTCCATGTAATTCAATAATACTTATCAATTTTATTATAACAATAAAATAATAGAAAAGCAGCTGAAGAATACTCGAGTATTTCACCAAAAGTAGTCGTACATTGTCACGAATGGCAAGCTGGTATTGGCTTAATTGCTTTGAGAACAAGACATGTGGATGTGGCCACAGTATTCACTACTCATGCTACACTTTTAGGCAGATATCTTTGTGCAGGAAAAACTGATTTTTATAACAATTTAGATAAGGTATGTAAAATCTTTCTCTTTGTCACATTTTGTCCCTTTTTCTACTTAATTTCTTGAATATGCATATCAACACGATTTTATTTACATACAGATAAAAAAATTTAATATTCTATTTATTCAATTAATTAAATGCAAAAAAGTTATTTAAAATGATAAAGCTATTCTTATTTTTGCATGTATCATATTTTTTTGACAATATAAAACAAAATTATTGAAGTTTAGAAAGCATAACAAATACATTAAACTTCTAATATATTATAATGGTCCGTCTTCTTAATGCCTCGGATTTCGCTCGCCAGGCGCCAAGATTCGGGAAACGGGGGGTTCGAGAGACTCGGGCTAACAAGTAAATCAAAGACAAGGCGGTTAACAAATCACAACAGTTTACTATAAAACACAGACTACAGAGATTCGGGCGAAGATGCGAACGATCTTACATCTACTGAGCGCAGAGCGCGAACGGTTAGGTACAAGTGACTTATTTTTACGTGCGCAGGTGCAAAGATGCGATTTTACATTTAAAGCGCGCGGAAGCGCGGTCTTACATCTATAGTGCGCGGAGCGCGAATGGTCTTATATCCAACGGCGCGCAGAGCACGAACGATCTTATATCCAACGGCGCACAGAAGTGCGAACGATCTTACATCTAACGCGGACAAGGTCGCAAGAAGGGAACCGACGGTCTCCGGTCTTCCTCTAGTCGAGTCGGTCGGATTGTATTGACCGTGGACAAGTCGCTCTCCCGATGACGGCAGCCGAGAACGTTCGGCGAGTACTCTCGTCTCCATTGACGGAGCACTCAGCGGGGAATGAATCAGGGGCCGCATGCGAGTACGCTCGAACACGAAGGCGGACGACCACCGGGACGCTCTCTAGGATCTCGAGGAGTCGTGTGAGGATACGCCCTCACACAAGACAGGAGCAGTCGCCGAGAACGCTCGGCAGAGCAACGAGTACGCTCGTCACTCAAGGCCATGTCAGGAAGAAGAATCGGTACATCAGCTACTCTCGAAAACGCTTGTGTTACGTATGCAATTTATAATTGGCGATCTAATGCCGTTATCGACGGAAAACTATTGCCTTTTGTTTATGTCCCAGTTCTGTTTTTATATATACATATATACAAGAGTAGTCTGAAAAGTTTTGAGCCTAACATAGAAACAAGTATTTTTTCGGTCAAATATAGTTTTATTTTTCAACATAATCTCCTTTTAAGTCGATACACTTTTCCCATCAATACTCTAACCTCTTTAACCCCTCCAAATAGTAGTTGGCGTCTTGCTCCGCAAAATAGGCGTTTACGTATGCGATGACCTCCTCGTTCGATGAAAATTTCTGTCCTCCAAGTTAAACTTTAAGCTTAGGAAACAGGAAAAAGTCGCTGGGGGCCAGATCTGGTGAATACGGTGGATGGTCAACCAATTCGAAGTGTAGTTCGTGAATTTTGGCCATGGCGACCGCTGAAGTGTGAGCAGGTGCGTTGTTTTGCTGGAACTGCACTTTCTTTTTCTTCAAATGCGGCCATTTTTTTGCAATTTCTGCCTTCAGCTTATCAAGTAATGATGCGTAATACGCTCCCGTTATTGTTTTACCTTTTTCAAGATAGTCGGTACACACAATTCCGTGACTATCTCAAAAAACAGTCGCCATTATCTTCCCAGCTGATGGAACCGTCTTTACCTTTTTTTGGAGCAGGTTCACCCTTTGCACTGTTTTGACTGTTCTTTTATCTCTGGAGTGGTGGATCCAAGTTTCATCTACAGTTATGAATCGGCGCAAAAAATCTGACTCGTTTCGCTTGAACCGCTCCAATAGGGCCTTGGAAATGTTCATTCGGATTTGTTTTTGGTCCAAAGTGAGCAAGCGCGGCACCCAACGCGCGGATAGCTTGCGCATATCCAATTCTTCAGTCAACAATGACAAACGCGTTCTTTCGATATGCCCATAGCCTCTGCTATCTCTCTAACCTTGATTCGACGGTCCAGTACCATTTGGTGAACATTTTCGATGTTATCAGCGGTGGACGCAGTTTTTGGCCGTCCCGAACGCTCATCATCAGCCAAGCTGGTACGACCACGTTTAAATTCAGCTGCCCATCTTTTTACGGTGGCAAATGATGGGGCAGAGTCCCCGTAAACAACGTCCAACTCGATTTTAATTTGAGATGTATTGCCTTTCAAATGTAAGAATTTAATCACGGCACGATATTCAATTTTTTCTATTTTTACAAAAAACACTGACATCGACTCACACAAACGACTGTCAAACAACAACTGAGCGTCCAAAATGGCTGAAATTTTCACAAAAATCTTTCAAAAACATATTGTAGTACTAGAATAGTTTTGATGAGT